CTTCCTTCCCTTCCTCCCCCCTTCTTCCTGTGCCTCCCTCCCTCCCTCCTTCCTTCCTTCCTTCCTTCCTTCCTTCTCTCTCTCTCTCTCTCTCTCTCTCTCTCTCTCTCTCTCTTTCTTTCTTTCTTTCTTTCTGTCTTTTTGAGACAGGGTTTTTCTTGTCTTTTTGTTTTCTTTAGAAAAAGTACTTTTTTAACCCAAAGTCTAAAATAGATATCTGCACTTGAGTGTTTTCTTTTTATTTAATTACAGTTTCTAGTTGTCTGTTGCTGATATACAGAAACACAATTTTTGTGTAATAACTTTATACACAACCATTTATTAACCTCTTCTATATTTATAACTCATATAAAGAGTCTTTGGAATCTTTAATGTAAACAATCATATCAATTACAAAAATGACTATGTTATACCATCCTTCATAATCCTTATACCAGTAATGATCTGTCCTTGTAGCATTGTGTAATCCTCCAAAGTGATGTTCAAATGCTGGTCCTCAGAAATCCAAGCTTCTGGAGGTACTTCAAAGGTTCAGCAAATTATCTGCCCCAGTACCATTTTTAAAATAGTTCACCTTAATAATAAATTTGGAATTTTAAAGTATAATAGGGTACCTTCTTGACCATAGCTATACCATGTTAGAGTTTAGGCTGACTCTAGTCTTTGAAACTATCAGGCAGTTGGCCCAGAGTATGGGAACATGTTGGCTGGACCCTTGGTGTCTTGGGAACAGGTCAGACTGTTCCAGAGTACACCTGCTAACTGCAGATTTATGGCTTCTGTAGGTTATGCTTGGCTTGCTTCTGCAAAATAGTAATTGTTACTTAATAGAATAGAAATTGTTAAGCGGATTCTCCACCTATAAGCTTGGGAACTTAAGCTTTTCACCCCTGGTTATGGTTTTTCTGTATAAAAGCTTACCCTATAGGCAGCTAGGGGCTACACACTTGGGTTCCCGACACCCTTGTGTAGTAGCCCTGGCCAGTAATGACTTTTATTCAGCACAACTATGTCTGAGTGGTCTTCTCTGATGAAGCACACCTCAACAAAAGAATCAAAAACTTAGTTTGATTTGCCCTTACTCTCCTAATTCTTCAGGTAATTTTTGTTGCTTCTTCCCTCATTTGATTTTTCCATGCTGAGTCTGGCCTCTTTCATAATTTTTAACTGATATTCATTCCTAGAAATTCTTGTACCTGAGAACTTGAGGCAAATTCAAAAAACCAAGAAACATTACCTTATGAAAATGCTTTCCTTACTATTGGAATCCCAATATTCCTCATGTCTCTATGATAACCAGCTTAACTACATTTCCCAGGAAATAAAACTTGCTCCAGAATATGAAGAAAGTAATTAGAAGCTACTGATTCTTTGAATTTGAAGAAAATTGTTGAATTTGAGGTTAAGTTTAGAAAACCCCTTTTTGATTTATTTTATTTTATGTGTATGAGTGTTTTGCTTGCATGTATGTAAGTGCAACCATGTCATGCAATGCCTTTCGAGGCCAGAAGAGGGTGTTGGGTCCCTCTGGGGTTATGGATGGTTGTTAGCTGCCACATGGATGCTGGGAATAGAACCCTAGTGCTCTGCAAGAGCATCCAGTGCTCTTAAGAGCTGCACCATCAGTTTAGCCCTGAGGTTAAGTTTTTATTCTCTCTTTTTTTTAAATCTATTTTAAAATTTTATTTGTATGAGTGTTCATCCAGTGCTCTTAAGGGCTGCACCATCACTTTAGCCCTGAGGTTAAGTTTTTTTTTCTCTCTTTTTTTGATTTATCTATTTTAAAATTTTATTTGTATGAGTGTTTTGCCTGCATACATGTAAGTGAACCATGTGTGTGTAATACCTACAGAGACCAGAAAGGGTGTCAGATCCCCTGGAACTGCAGTTACAGTCATGGTGTTTAATAGCCACCATGTGGGTGCTGGAAACTGAACCTGGGTCCTCTGCAAGAGCAGCCAGTGCTCTTAACCACTGAGCCATCTCTGCAATTCTGAGGCTGTTTTATATATATTTAGAACTTTATTCAAGTATGTTTCTTCTAATAAAACCAGTGAAATGTGTGTTTTGTGTGTGTGTGTGTGTGTGTGTGTGTGTGTATGTGTGTACACACATTCTATTTTCTACTAGAAAATAGTCACTTAATGAAAACAGATCACTATAATATAATTTTATCAGTAAGAATGAAGGAAAAGAGCTAATCAGAAAACTTAAGCTCAAAGGCAAGAACATACCTGCTACCACTCATGACATAGCCCGAACATTCAAATGATGCGATTTCTTCACTGGTCAAGCCAATTTCACCTCTTCGTGGGATACGCTTTCCAGCTTTCACATATTCAGCCATAGCTGCACCTTCACCAGGTAACAGAGCATGCCCATAGCTACAAAGTAATTCAGAATTTAGAAAAGGGCCATTAGACTATCTCAATATAAGTGTTCACAAATTAAAGAGAGCACAAAATATTTTCTCAGACAGTAATGAGAATATCAGTGCTGAGCAGTAGTGTGCCCAATGTAAAATACTTAATTTTAATTAGTGAGCACTGCACCGTGACCTGTATTACTAACCCAGAAATAGTTTAGAAGACCAAAAGAACTGATGTTAATGAGTACAGATTCATACTTTGTAATTGTGGGTTAATTTATCCTTATAGTTATTTCCATTATTACTTCTGCTCCTAGCTCATTCCCTCTTAAAGCTAAAAGAAATAACTTAAATAACTTGTAACTAATAAGTATGCCATAGAGTAAAAATTTTCTTTTACTTTTGATTCAAAGGGGCACACACACACACACACACACACACACACACACACACACACATCTATATACATCTTTTTGAGACAGAGTGTCCCAGTAGTCCCAGCTGGCCTGGAACTTGCTAGATAGAACAGGCTGGCCTCAAACTCACAGAGATCTGCCTGTCTCTGCCTCCCAATTGCTGGGATTAAAGGCAAGTGCCACTATGTCAAGCTGATTCAAAGGGGTTTTAAAGATTTTTAAAAATCTTATTTTTATTTTTTTGTATGTGAGTATGTTTTGCCTGCATGTATGTAAATACACTCATACCATGCAATGTCCACAGAAGCCAGAAGAGGGTGTTGGATCTCCTGGAACTAGACTTTTGGATGGTTGTTATTTGCTATGTGGGTGCTGGGAACCAAACCCAGGTGCTCTGCAAGAGCAGTCAGTGCTCTTAGTCACTGGACCATCTCTCCAGTCCCATTCAAAGGGATTTTAAGAGCAATTCAGTGAACATTTCCTGTATACTTATTAAACATAAAGTTTGTGGAAACAGTCTTATAGGCTCCTGGGACCTTGCTTATATGAACTTATAGCAATGGTGTCAGCACGCACAAGACCCATGAAAACTCAATCAGACAAAAACCCAGCACAGAACTGGGGAAATGGGCAGGAGGCCCCAACATTAGCTGAAGAACTATTGGCAGCTGATTACTGCTGGGTGAGGGAGAGTTGATCTTCTTTATTCTAGACAGGCTGACTCAGTGGAGGAACTTGCACTGAGTGACGTCTGGGTACACTAACTTGATTCGATAGGCCTTAGCATGTGACAGAATGCATGAAATCTGGTGGGGATGGGCTATAGGGGTGTGTGGATGGGGACGGGTATTAAGATTAAAATATTTTGTATGAAATGCACAAAAACTCAATAAAAATATACACAAAAAATAAAAAGCCTTAAAGCTTGTAACAGAAAAATGATCTCTGTTTTTATGGAATGTACATATTGATAAGGCTTATATCTATACTATAAGGGTGCCTGCTGTCAAGCCTGAACTGACTCCTAAAAGATGTCCTCTGACCTTTGTGATCTCCCTGCTCCAAAACAAAATTTTAAAAAAGTAATAAAATATCAAAATATAATACAGTGAATAAAACAAATTAAAAATGCTATGAGGTTTAAAGAGAGGGAAGGAACGCTCATGACTACTTGCAGAGCAGCATTGGGAATTACTACATGCTCTTGCTTTGAAAAAGATTGTACTCTCTATGCCTTTTTTTTTGGAGAGGACAGTGTCTTACTATATAGCCCTGGCTGGCCTTGAATTCACATAGATCTGCCTGCCTCTGCTGTAATTAAAGGTGTATGCCAGAACATTTGTTTAGAAAAGGGCCATGAAGGATGGTTAAACATCTTATTTTATCTATCTATCTATCTATCTATCTATCTATCTATCTATCTATCTATCTATCTATCTATCTTTTTGAGACAGGGTCTCAAGTAGCCCAGGCTGGACTTGAGCTCACTATGTAGCAGATGATGACCTTGAACTCCTGATTATCCTGCTTCATCCTCTCAAATGCTGGGATTATAGGCATAAGCTACCACACCTAGCTAGAAAGTCCTTACAATACTATAAATACCCTGCTAAGGATATAGTTCAGTGGTAGTATGTTTGCTAAGCATGACCATGCTGAGCACTGCAAAAGTAAACACCAAAACCCCATAACCATACATTGCTACTTACTTTAAAGGCTTATCATCTTGGGAGGCAAGTGTTTTTGGAGCCTCTGGGCCAATTAGATCTGATGGTTCTTCAGCTTCTGAATGAAAGATATTAAGAAATACACTCACATTCTGACTAATCAGTTAACATTTCATCTGTTGAGTTAGCCAACTAGGAGAACCTACTTGATCGATCCTTCCAAGGGTTCTCTACAAATTCTTCTTGGGATTCTTTAGAGCTTGAATCACTGGACTCTTTTCTGTTCTTCTTAGACTTCTTTTTCTTATATTTTTTCCTATATGGATTATAATTTGAGACAAATTCATTAAGTATTCCCATATTAAAGGGCATCCTAATTTTTCAAGGGAATGAAAAGGCTTCTTCTGAAAATGAGCAGAATTCTCAGCTTATTCAAACTTATTAGAGAAGAGTTTTAATTAAAATATTTTATTATTAGAAAAGAAGATCACTACAGGATCAGTGAAACACAGTTCTCATTTAGCAAGACAATAAAAATAAAATAGTTTAAAAGCCAACTGTCAGGTAGGTCTGGTAACATATACCTAAAATCATAGCCCTTAGAAGGTGGAAGCAGGAGGATCAAGAATTCAAGGTCATCCTACACTGTACAGTGTGCTCAGTGGAGCCAGCCTGGGCTACATAAGCCCCTCACTCAAAAATCAAACAAGGGATATAAATTAGATTTGATAGACCTTAAAAAAAGTTATAGAGGACAAGAAATTGGAGGGGAGTGTAGTAAGGAAGGGTACAAATAGATGGGGTCTAAATATGATCAAAATACATTGTATATTAAAAATTCAATAAAAATATTTAAACAAAAAAATCAGGGGCTGGAGAGATGGCTCAGCAGTTAAGAGCACTGACTGCTCTTGCAGAGGACCCAGGTTCAATTCCCAGCACATGCATGGCGGCTGCAAACTGTCCTTAACTCCAGTTCCAGGGAAATCTGAAGCCCTCTTTTGACCTCCATGGCATTGCAGAACATGGGTGTACTCACAAACATGCAGGCAATACATTCATACACGTAAAATAAAAATAATAAAATATTTTAAAAAATCAAGCATAAAACAAAATTTCTAAACCAAGCAAAAAACTCAAAACCAAACCAAAAAGAGCAAAACAAACAAAAACCCAAATTCTTGCCATTTGAGTGTTACTAAAAATTTTCAGTGTAATGGATTAAAATATAGCAAATATATTTAAAAAATTTTTTTTGGTCTTTTTTGAGACAGGGTCTCCCTGTAGCCCCAGCTGGCCTGAAACTTGCTATGTAGACCAGGCTGGCCTTGAACTCAGAGATCTGCCTGCCTCTGGGATTAAAGGCTGCACTCAGATTACTAAAAAAATCCTGCCCATTATTTGAAAACTTGCAAAACAGAAAATCAGGTAGTTATCCTGCCATAAACTCAAAACAAAAAAAAACTCTGTGAACTCTTATCAATTTGAGAATTAAAAACAATTTTGAATGTAATGGATAATAGTAACGAAAATATGTTTAAATCATTGGGTTCATATTACTAAAAGAATCTAATTATTTTGAAAACTCATAAAACAGAAAAAATCAAACAATTATCTTCTTTCGTATACAAATTGCACTTCAGACTATTTAGTTGAAGAAGGTAAGTTGTTCTTAGAACTACCTAATTAATGAAGATGGAAAACCCACATTAAACTACTAGTGTTTTGCAATCTCTACAACATATTGGATCTAGACAATGACCACCAATGGTTGTTAATGTGGCAAAAGAGACAACCAGGCATTAATTGCCTACAGATGGCAGTATGCAGTACCACCCAAGAAGTATTCCTACCCCAAACTCAAATCTGAACATCGTCAATACTCTAAACCCATCACTCTCTAGGAAACAGAGGAGACAGAAGAACATGCTAATTCATACAATCACTATAATTTGTGGACATTATTTATATTCTGATTTGAATAAATTGTAGGAAAAACTGCATAGAACTGACTAATGTTAAATATTTAAGCACGGGGCTAGAGAGATAGCTCAGTGGTGAAGAGCACTGGCTGCTCTTGCAGAGGACCTGGGTTTGGTTCCCAGGACACACATGGCAGCTAACAATTGTCTATAACTCTAGATCCAGGGGATCTGATACCCTCTTCTGACCTCCTCAGGCAATGCACACACACGGTGTACTCACATACAGGCAATACACTCATTCACATAAAAATAAAAATAAAAAATTAAGCCTAGCATGCACGAGGCCCTGGACTCATCCTCATCACCACAAAAAAAAATTAAAAAGGCAATGCAGTGATTATATTGGGATCAGAAACAGTCTGTATAAGAGCTATCATCTTGCAGATTATTCTGCCTCCCACAGAACAGAATTTTGGTTGCAGTTACTGACCAGAGGCCACCATCATGTCCCAGTGGAAGTCATTTTTATTGTGTTTCTTTTAAAATTATTAGAAGCCAAGAATTTAAAACTTCTGTGCGGTGAAGCACCTTCTCGGCATTTCCTCCCTTTGCTTATGTTGCATAGTATACATGCCATGGTTGTCTGCTTCCCAGATGAGTCACCGAAGACTGCTCTGTGTCTACTGTACCTCAGTGACCATGACTTTTAATATGGGCCCCAATGTGTAAATAACCTTGTAAATCAGATATTTTGTGTGTTTTGGAACTTTCTTCATGCATGGCTTTTAATTATGTTTGTACAGTCTGGGTTTTTTAGGTAAATAAGTCTTACTCATTTGAAAAAAATCAAAAACAAAACAAACAAACAAAACAAACAAAAAACTAAGCATGATAAAAGGTTTTTTTTTTTTTTTTTTTTTTTTTTTTTAAAGAATACCTCTTTTAGAGAAAGGCATTAAATTGTAGAATTGTTTAGGGATGTAATGATATCTCTGATTAGTTCCAATATAATCAGAGTGGTGGAGACTGCCCATGAGAGCAACTGTTCAGACTCGATGACCATGTATATTGATCATTAAGCTATTTTATGTAATATTATATACATTTAAACTTTTCCATTAAAAACATTAAAGAGACACTGACGATTTCCGCTTTTTCTTCTTTTCCTTTTTCTTAGCTTTCTTTGCTCTCCTTTTTGCATCTTCACCTACGAATTAAAGCACATTATAATTGAAAAACCTGAAGTTCAAAACCCCAATATTTTAATAGATAAATATTCTACTGCTATTTCATTTGTTACAGAGAAATTAATTCCAACATTTATTGCAACTTGTCAGAAACTATACCAGGTGTAAGACTTATAGAAATGAAAAGTCATGGGCTGGTGAAATGGCTCAGTGGGTAAAAGGCACTTGTTGCCAAGGATGACTGATGACTGAGTTCAAGCCCCAGAACTACATGGTGGACGGAAAGAACCAACTCCTATAAGCTGTTCCCTGTCCTCCACATGTTGGCTGTGGTATATGTGGGTCAAGATGAGTACACACACACAAACACAATAAATATATAAAAATTAAAGTTACACTAGAAATTGCTATTAATTTATTCACCAAGTTAATATACTGGCTAAGTAGTAAAATGTCCCTTTTCAAAGTGATAATACAGAAATATTTAGCATCAAGTAATGATAACTTACTTTGAATACCTCAGTAACACCCTGATATTTTAAGCAAGTATGTCAAAATGGTACATATATGGTATTAATTACATTATTCCCTTTACTTTTCTGAAAAATTTAAAATTTCATAGTGAGAAGGAAAAAATACTCTATTTGCATGTAACAGAGAAAGCTAATGCTTTCTAGAACTTCATTGTAATGGAGGTGAGAGACCGGAAGTGAGATGAACACAATCTGGACAGAGAGATGCATGGGGTGCTCTGGGAATAGAGAGGAATCTATACACCAGAAATGGGCTAGTGAGATGGTGACCCACATGATAGAAGGAGAGAACCAATTTCTGAAAATGATCCTCCAACTTTTGTATATATGCCATGTGCAATTGCCCCACATAAATACACAGATACCCAAAATAAATGAGTAAAAATTATTTGGGGAGAGTAGTTAAGGAACTGTTGTTTTTAAAAGTAGTTCATTATAAAAATAATGCATGTCCACTGTTACAATGAGTAACCAAAGCTGGATGGGGGGGGGGGGGGGGGGGA